GGCAAGGGGGTCCTTTAGAGTGACAGCTGCCCCTGATATTCCCTGATTTTATTACATTTTATTGAATGTCTGACGGTGTTGACAAAAAGTGGGGACGCAACTTTAAAATCTTATGAAACATGCATGTGTCATTAAAAAAACAACTTGCTGTAACGAATCAGTCCACTGATGGCGAGCGTAGTGAAGAACCCAAATGCAGTTTATTTACAGTGTGAGCCAAACATCCAAACAATAATCCGAGACTTGACTTGACAGGAACAGACTTGACGAGACATGAACAGACTAGACTCACCGACAGCGGGTTACAACATCAATACACGACGAGAGACAATGGCAACATGGTGGCTACTTATAGCAAACAAGAGGGTCACATGACAAGAGCAAACCAATGGGAAACAAGACACATGACTAAGACAACCAATCAGAACATGACACATACACAAGGCAGAGATACATGAGGGCAAGGGAAGCATGACACTAACAGCAGGAAACAAACAATCACAAAATAAAAGACATGGAAAACATGAACATGAAACACAACCCAAGCACCAAACCCCACATTACACTTGCTTTGATAGGAGATATTATTAAGTGTTGCTTTTGATAAAACAAGCTCTTTTTCATCATTAAAAAAAAACATTTTTATCCATTTTATTGCATATGAATGATTGAACCCTTTTCTGTGGACACACTGTTTTAGGATGTAGTGAAAGGACATTAAGAAACACAGATTTGGTATAATGAGAAAATTAAATTGAAGGTGATAATTGTGTTAAATACATTCTATTATTAATCCCTCATGACATTTAAAATTGAAAATATTTTTATTTTTTAAAGCTAATAGCAGTTACCCTTGCTGGACCTGTTTTGTCCCACGTCTCAAGAATGACTATTACTTGTATATTATATAAGCCAAGAATATTATATAAAATAGGAATAGGATTAGGAAGTTCTGGATATATTAGGAGTACATCTGGCAGAATGATACCTTTACCCTGCAAAAAGGACAAAGCGAACTCAGTAACTTGGGTCTAAAGAGGCCATCATCTCACCATTTGAACCCAGAAGAGATATGTGTAGGCTGTATGCGCATGCGAGTATAGTGAGATAGAGATGGAGAACACAGAAGGGAGGAGGGAAAAAAACAAGGGGATAAAAAGGGAGGGAAGGACTGGGAGAGAGAGAGCACATACAGCAAGACTCATAGAAACATCTGGCAGAGAGTGTAGTATAACAGTCATGAACTAGGTTAGCTAAATATGCCAAAAAATATTGGCATCAAAACTCCCATTGACTGTGCTGCAGAGGAGGGAACATTTCTTATTGATGACAGCATAATAATCATTGATTTAAACAATCCTGATGTATTGTTATCATCTAAAATGTTTGTATTAATTTATTTATTTAACTCTGATATCATTTTCTATGTGTATCCTAAATTATGCGCGAATGTTCCCAAACACACGACAGTGAGATTTACTTCGGGAGTATACATTTTGTAGCTTTTTATTAAACTAAATTTTAAATCACATCCAACTTGTTAGCAACAAAGGACACGGTCGCGCGATATCCGCCTTTGATCTCGCAGCTGTCAGTCTTGAATGCGCTTATTTCACACGTGAAAGGATCACGTGGTCTCTGACAACGACACACACCCCCAGATACGTCACATCTCTGTAGTCCAGCAATGCTGCTCCATTCATCCAAAGAACCGAAGCACGTTTGAGAGGAAAGATGCAGACAAAGATGTTTTCCTTTGGTTTGTTTGCAGTTTCAGCATTTCTTTGGCACGGTAGGACCTTTATTTATTTATTTATTTCTCCTCAGGTCAACGATTTAAAAAAAAAAGAAAAGAAAAATGTTGTTCCCTGCCAAAGCAGAGGTTAGTGAAGACCCAGATCCAGACAAAGACCTGCCAGTCCAAGAACCAGGCAGTAAATATTCATATGTAATGTAATATTTAACAACTTTTCATTTATTTTACTTTAATGAACAAAGAACAAGACAACTATCAAACTTTTTTTCACATCTTTTTGTTCCAAGTTAAAAAAAATAATAATAATAATGAAATAAAAGAGTACATTTAAAATAAAGGAAATACAATGAATGAGTCAATCCACCAAATGGATGCCGTTTCTATCCTCGGGACATTTATATGTATAAAAATGCATGAAAATTTACTCTAACATTAACATTTTACTATTAAGCAAAGTATCACATGAAGCTATAGCTGTAAATTAATAATACAGAATTTAAACCATTCAAAAAACTGCCCATAACGCTGTGGAAATATAGTATTTGTTATATAACTTGTAGTCTCGGACACGACGCCCACGGACCGTTGGCTAAACTTCTGATTCATATGGCACACTTTCTTTTCTTTTTTTTATTGAACTTTCAACCTTACAAAATTCAACAGCAAGTCCTTCACATATTTCTCACATTTACACATTTTGTACGTACAGATTGAAACACTTTAAATAAAATAAAATAACAATAGAACTTAAAAGACAAAAAAAAAATGAATGGGCATCACATATGTTTATAGCACACAAAACTGGAAACACTTATCATCAGGTTGGTTGAATTATACAGGACTTCCGGGAGATGGTCCATGGGCGTGACTTCTGAGGCTGCCACTTTTAGCTTTTTTTCCAGAGTGTTGCATTCTTTAACCTTCTGCCTGGAAACAAAGATGTGATGCCAAACCCCGTCATACCAGAAGACAGCCATCGTGTTTACAGCTGTTTTTTGATTGGTTGCTTTACCTGTCTGTCAAATGGCCTCTTGGGCGGGCCTTGGCCATTCAAAGTAGTGATGGGAAGTTCGGCTCTTTTCAAAGATTCAGCTCTTTTGGCTCGGCTCCCTTAGAAGAGCCGGCTCTTACGGCTCCCAAATGGCTCTTTATTTAGTATCACTCTGAGCCTTCTATTTTAGCCCAATTTAGCAATTGTGAATGGTTTGTGTGTTAGTAAGCAATTTTTATTCAGTGTTTTCATAAAAGCAATATTTTTATGCATTTATTTTTCGTTACAAAATATACAGATATATGGAAGCCCGTTTCCGCCACTGAATTAAAAAATAATAATTTTTAAGTTAATTGCGACTTTTTATCTCACAATTCTGACTTTTTTTTCAGAGAATTGCGTGATATAAACTCACAATTGCGAGTTAAAGTCCAATTTTGAGGGGGGGAAGAGACTGATATGTTCTCAGAATTGCGAGTTTATATCTCACAATTCTGAGAAAAAAAGTCAGAATTGCTTTTTGACTTTCTCAAATTGTGTAAATCCACATGGGGTTCAGAGTATAATTTTTTTTATCCACAGTAATATCACACTTGTCTAGTACAAATATGTCGCTTTGTTTCATAATTACAGTGTATACGTTTTTCCTTATTTACCCTCAAAAATTGGAAGTGAAATGTGACAACATGCCCCGTAGGTGGGGTACATTGTAACAGCTGAGGGGCACGTTGTAACATGACCATATAACAGCTTAAAATGTTATCTGATCGAATGAAAAAAATATACAAGACCAACTAAAATATTTTGTCAATAAAATAAAATAATTATTTATTTCAAATAAAATAATGCCGTTTTTTAAGAATTAAAAATAATCAGATTTTGTAGTTTGACAATGAACACATTGCAACCATGCTTGGGACGGCCCACATAAACGAGCCAAAATGCTTTACATGTCTTGAAATAATAATTT